ACGGGTGAAGTAGTTTCTCTACTTTAATTGACCGGAAGAGTCACTCCATCAGTTTTTCAAAATGTCAGTCCAGTGTTGTGCCCTTCAATAGTCATTGATATCAAACTTCGAGTCACTTTAAAAGACACCCAAAAGACTGCCAAAATAATCAATCAGGTCTCGGCATTTAGTCTGGGAATGTGGTTGTTCATAAAATAAAGAAACGTAATTGGTTATCTCAGTAATTGCTAGGGTGGGCCTTACAGTCACTCGAAACTTCTTATCTTGTGAATTTAACACAAACATATTTTTTAATACACAAAGACCGACGAATGTGTTGCATTGTACACATGGCAGATCAACACAAAACGTCACAATTAATGTAGAAATTTCACAGCAATATAACAAAATGTAATGAAGCGTGACAACATTCATCACTCCTACGATGAATAATAATTTGAATAAATGAAACAGACGACCTTTCTAATTGAAAAGAACTACGCAGTGAGAATCCTTTGTCGGCTTCATTTGGATGACTAGATTAAGAATAAGCCTGAAAGTGAATACATGATCGGGAAATCGAAGAGACGATCAACCACCAAAAAGAGGAGAAAAGCATCCATACTGTCCGATACTGTAAAGTAAATAACTTCTTTATAGAGTGTATCAAAAATCATATTCTTTCTTTTACAATGCTAAAAAATATAACAAGATTGCAAGGTGAAGAAAAAACAAGTTTGAAAAGATGTTTATACATATCACTCAAGATATCTCATCCACCAAAAAATGATAAAATATGAATGACAGGCTATCTTACTCTTCTGTCTAGTATCCAATGAGAAAGCCAATAAACCAAAGAAAAGTGACAAAAGCCGGAAAGTTAAGGAAAACGAAACAATATTGTAAAACAATAACAGAAACAACAGGAAGTCATAAGTTTTATCATGTACTCCTAATCTAATGTGGAGAACCTTCCATCAAGTCTAGACAACAAAATAAAAAAGAAATACATTTTCATACTCGATTATAAAAAAGAAAAGGAATTACAAGTGTATGGATTATTAAGAATAATGTGACAGATAATCCATAGAGTAAAAAAGGGCATTATTACTATAAGACAAAAACAGAAAGATATATCAACGCAGAATCTGGTTAACAGGTTCAAGTTTGCAAACTACTTGTCAGCATGTGACAAAAAGGTGGATAGTAAAAGGCATACAAAAGCGTAGACGAGTTGAGATAGTGAAATGAAACATCAGTCTGTTATGCACAACTCAGGAAAATTTCAAGTTCAACGAAACAGGTAGCATACCAGGTTTTAACTATGCTCAAATACAGACAAAGGATTTAGATATTCCTCCTGCATACCACACTAAAAATGGTTTCAGGCTGAAGACATAATGAACCACGAACCCGGAAAGATTATGCATCCATTCAGCCAACAGCAAAGTGAATGGTAATCAACAAGACAAAAGTTGGAGAATGAGAAGAAATAGACCAAGAGTCCGAAAGAAAAAAGAAAGGATACATATTCATTGACCGATTTCGGCTACTATACTAAACACAATAAGACGACCAACACAGGTCAAGCAAAAGACATGGAATTCCTTGATCTACTGAAGCATCTTCACACAGTTTGTTGTACAAGTCCACCCAATAAAATGTACACGTAAACCGCAGCTCCGTTATCGCTATCCATACATAAAACTGTGAAACGAAGAAAAATATGGCAGAACAGTCTATGCCTGCTCAGAAACAACAGATCGACAAATCAACGCAGCACATAACAGAGAACCATAACACTTAAGGCTAGTACATTTCACAATACCTTCGAAAGAAAAGATGCATACAAAAGGAACGACAATACAGTAGCAAAAGAAAATAAGTAGATGAAACTCCATGAGAAGGTCCACATTTTAAAATATACCAGAAAGCGACTACACAAACACCGTAGTCACTGAAAGTCAGCTATGTCACCAACAGTCTCCAACCATCGGATTCCTATTATCGCCAGTACAACAGCTGTGGAGTCTTCATCGTCCTACACGAAACTGGCGGGCTGGGTTCAGGGAGAACAAATCATATGCCAACCAATTTGAAACGACACACTACGCATCATCATACAACACAACATACAATGCCAGTCAAATGGATCCTCACCTCAACTTCATCGACTTCAAAAACGCCACAGTCCAACAGCCTCCACTGCACCCAGAAGTAATTTGACAGCTGCTGCTTCAACACTACGCTTCCAGTGCCACAAACCTTCAACAACCATATGACAACGCAACATCCAAACTGATTGATTCACAATGGAAAGCTCAGTCACGCCTTCCAACTCAACTCAACTCAACTGAAGTGACGTCACGTCACGTCACGTGAAGACAGCAGTAAAACAAGGATACCGCATACTATCACCCATCATCTTCCCAACTGTCCTAGACTCCACTGCATCATGCAACAAACTACCACGAGCAACATCAGGGGCATACGCTGCACCGCTCGCTCCACCGATCAAAACACACCACAAGAAGATTCGCATTTCACCAACGATTATCACATAAGTCTCAAATGTCTTGTCGCACAAACTCGAACATCTACACACGAAAACCAACAAATTCACACAACACGACAGCCAACCAACACACCACCTCCTTACGGTGAACCTACTCAACACAGAACTCATGAAGATACCCAACCAACAACAAAAACATCAACAAAAAGCATCAATCACCATCAACGGGAGAAATATAAACGAAGTTGTCTCTTACACCTACCTCTCTACATAGGCACCATCCTATCAACTACACACGGCACAGGCACACATGACGGTGTCAAAGCCACAATCGGAAACACAGCAAGACATTTCACCAAGAGATTTCACCAATCTGAAATCAGTGTACAGATCTACTCCACTCAACTCAGCATAAAGCGTGAACAACATCAAGTCACTCCTTCTACATCATGCTTCACAGACTTGGAGCATCATGAAAAGCATTTCCAACAAACTACAGACATTCATCAACAACTGCCACCTACGCTCGCCCACTCGATGATACTGAAGATCAAATGATCAGAATAATAATAATATGCAACAACCAACTCTCGCTGACTGGCTAACTCGCTGGCAACAACCCATCACCCAACAAATATGCAGAAGAAGAAAGTGGAGATGGATTCGACTGGACATACACTGAGAAAACCATTCGGAGACATCACGCCTCAGGTCACGTCGTCAAGTGCAATCCAAAAGGGAAAAGATGAGTTGGGCACCCGAGTTAAAGGAGACATGGAGGAGATGGTGTTAGGAAGAAATGGAAGCTTGTGGGCAGTCATGGAGCGAGGTTCAAAAGACTGCAGAGGACGGAGTGGAATGGCGACGTGTATCAGAAACTCCATGTTCCACTAGGAACCGAAAGGACAACTTATAATAATAATTATCATGAACTGGTGCTGCATCTTGGTCTAGCCATCCTAAACCTTATTCCAACCTAATACTAAACCAGCCAACGTCGCATATCGGGGTAGGCAGTGGCTTGGCATGCCCAAAAAATTCTCAATTCACCTCGATGGATGAAGGTTAACACCAACATTGACTGACCTGCCTTGCTTGCTTAGTACCCTCCATCCAACGTCAGCAATGCTCACACGGTGAATCCACTATACACAAAAAATTCTACGAAGATATTTGTGGTGATAAAACCTGCAATCCCTTCATATTTTCTACTGTCAATAATCATGCCTCATAGCTGTATAGTAAGACAAAGCAAACTGCAATGCAGTATACTCATTCTTTAATAGGTTATCGGGTATCTCGCCAGTGCCAGAGATGATGTAATTCGAAAATTTGGTTGGATGCAGTCTTTTATACGGCATTACAATCGCATAGGTGCATTTCCAATGTAACATTTTCCTTACCTAATACCCTCAAAATCTGAGTTTTTCTATAATGCCTCAAAGAAAACATCAGCTTGAACAAAGAAACTATCGTATCACACTTTATTAATGTACCACTTAGTTTGAACGATATGTGCATTATCGCATGAAGACGAAACGAAGAAGCAGAGAAGAAACAACACTCCAGCCGTGTTCAGTAAAAGAAATTAGAAGATAAGTAATTCTACACACTTGTTGTTGACATGATTATCATTATTTTGGTAATAGCAATCAGGATGCATTCCTTTAATTTATAAAACAGTAAGCAACACTGAAAATGTGTTCAAAAAAAGAAAAGAAATTAAGTTATGAAACTATACTTGTAGCTAAAAATAATAAATAAAACAAGCGAAACCTTCAACATAATAATCGACGCTGAATGATAAACAATGCAACTTTCTAGTTAACTGACATAAAAATGACAGTAAACTGCAATGTAAACTTTACATTATCTGACAGCGTAATTTCACTGTAACCTAATAGTATCCGTGAAACACAAGAATATTGAAAAGAAATTATTGGTAGCGAAAGTTTATGCAGCTCAGTAATGGCACGCAAGTGGGTTCCTGCAATATCGGTGACCTCAGCCATGTTAGAACTTCTAACCGTTAAAATATATGGTCATACTCGATTTCGGACGCCTGATCTGGTTGCACAGACAGAATGAAATACGTTTCCCGATTGGACGTTCATTTAACACAGTAGAGATGACACCAGTGAACTGACGAGGTTAACTTTAAATGAAAGTGTAGGCCCATATAAATACAATCGGTAGATTTATACACATTAGAAATGCCCTTAATGCAAGCAGATAACTTAGCATATTACAAGCGAAGAAATAACCAATGAGAAATTAACGTTAATAAATGCGGTAAAAACAAGCGGTGAACACAAGGCGGAAATAAAGCGCGAAGTAGAGAAATTCAAATATTCAACTGGAAACAATGCAGATTAAGCGTTCACATTTCGCAGATCTAACACGCCTAACACTAACCCGCTATTTGACAGTCAACAGATTGAAAAAATGAACCGTATTTCCCCCGAGTAATAACGAACAATTATGAATAAACCACGTAAAATCTTACCTATACGTTTAGGCATCAATTGTTTGTAATACAGATTATTACGATTATTCATATGTACACCGAACAACTTTTGATCATCAGTACTGTTATTATTAGCACACAGAAAATTTTGGCTTTTTCTATAGTAGAAGTATCCGGATGTTGGTAGAGTTGATACTGATTTTGATAACGTTAAGACTGATGATAACGAGGAGGCTGGGATGGTGGACGAGAAAGTAGACATAGCATTCTTCACAGATTCCAATAGAACTTGTAAAGCTTTGAATGAATTTTCGGATAACTGTGATAAGTTTACTAGGCGATCATGCAAAACGGACACGTGTTGCTGTGATACTGAGAGTATTAGTTGATTATTCATGCATGCATTGGCTTTCAGTGATACTGCATTATTAGATTGCTTATTTTCATTATTATTTTGATAGTGAGGATGACAACGTCGATGAGACGATAACGGAGTAGGTGGTGGTGGTGCGGGCGGAGGTATACGATTGTGTATGCCATCTAGAATTGGACAGAGAGAAGAAAATTATCACAAAAGTCATTCACCCGTTCAATTTATATATATACGACTCGCTAAATCTACTTCATCGTACAGCAAGAATAAGACGTTGGGTAAACAAAACCAAGTATCGCACGAAATTAAAAGAAAAAAGCATGAGAAATAAAAACAAATAACAAAGGTATATAACGCCTGAAATAAATATAACTAACTTATAACGCGTAACCATTAAAAAAAACCTAGCCCAGTTAACTGGTTACTGGCTAATCCTAAGTCCGGATAAACAGGGAAGGTTGGGCATAGTGATAACAAACCTAACCCAGAAAACCAACACAATCCCTAAAAACACTTCAAAGAACAAAGAAAATATAACAAATAACATTAAACTTATTCCACGCTCCAATCCGACAGACCAAATGACCACAGTTGGTGAAACCCTTTGGGAAGCCAATCGGTCAGTGCGTCTTCTCTCTCTCTCTCTCTCTCTCTCGATAAAAAAGAAAGTAAGAATTTGCACATGGAATATCCAGATGAGAAGGTATGGCATACAAGTGCCAAGCTACGAATCTGTGAAGAATCTCCACATACAATGCAAGTCGACTCTCAAAACTGTCAACTCCATTTGAGTTGAAGCAGTGGTTTGTGTTTAAAACACAAAATAAACTGTTTTACTTTCAATATCCTCTTCATTAAGGTGAAAGTCACATAGTTCGTTTCCAAAAAGACTTTACTAACGTGAATACTTGTTTACACTACCTATCTATTCACTTTTTCATTTCAAGTAATATTTCGTTTTCATTTCAACATCTTTCTTCATTTTAAAGCTAAAATCAGTTGAATTTTGAGACAACTATTTCAAGCATCATATTCACATAACCACTCAATATGTGCATGAATGTACATTATATTCAAAGTCAGAGAATTTGACAGAAAAGTACTTTATTAAGGCAGTATTCACCATGGACTGATATCAGACGGAGAACCACTGAGAATATGAGAATATTTGACAGCTGTTTCGTCATAAAATGAAACTCTTCAGCAGTACGTACTAATGACCCCCATCAATGATCTAACTCAGGACCTTCAAGTACCATACGAGGAATAAATAGCTGTTCAGTGCTCACAGGTTTTCAATGGCCTTCCAAATGATGTCAGTTGGCAAAAAAAAACACTCACTAGAATCCCTTAAATTACAAAACGAGAGGGTATATAAATTCAGGGAGATGGGTAGTTATTATTATTATTTGTCCCTTGAGTTCCTAATAGAACATCGGGCTTCAGTAGCACGTCTCCATTCCACTCTCTCCTCTGAAATCTTCTGAACCTGGCTCCACCACTCCACACAAGCTCTCATTTCCTCCTCGCACAATCTCCTCCATGTCACCCTCACCTCCGACGCCCAACTCGTCGCTTCCCCTCAGGATTCCACTCGAGTACCTGGCCTGACGCGTGATGTCCCCAGTCGGCCTCCTCAATGTATGTCCGATCCATCTCCACTTCCTTCCAGTGCATTTTCGTTCAGCGATAGCTTCTTGGTTGGTTCGTTGCCAGCCACAATGAGTTCATTGCTGCTTATTCTTTCTGGCCATCTGATCTTCAGTAACGAGACAGCGTAGGTGGCAGTTGTTGATGAATGTCTGTAGTTTATTGGAAATCCCTTTCGTAACGAGCCAAGTCTCTGAGCCATCACATAGCAACACTGACTTGACTGAAGGAAGTTGGTGTTGAAAATCCGGATCTTGTTCCACATGATGAGTGCAGTGCAGGATATCTCCACACTGGTTTCAGGCTAATGAACGCCTGTCTTGCTATCTTTCCGATTCTGATTTTGACATCCTCGTCTGTGCCGCCTGTAGTTGAGACAGTGCTTCCGAGATAGGTGAAGGAGGTTACTTCCTTTAAGTTTCTCCCGTTGATGGTAGTTGGAGCTTTCTGTTGTTGTTGGTTGGGTATCTTCATCACCACTGTCTTCTCTATATTCACTTGAAGTCACTTGGTCTAACTAATCAAGCCACAATAGAAGACTAAAAATCTACACAAGTTATTTTAATTTCAATCGCTGGTAATAATCAGCTCTTAGACAATTCGATTGGAAAATACTCATATTTATTCATTGGAGTAGTTAATCAGACGATAAGTACACAGAATGGTGCATATAAAAGCCAATTTTCTCAGAATGAACTTATTATGAAAAAAGTTATTGAATGCAATATTTTTTGGCTATTAACGAGCTCTCTGTATGCAATATACAAGACATATGATAACTGCTGTAGAGGTACAACGTAAAATTGTGCAAAACCCGAAGTTTACGATTTGATATATTGTTGCTAATGATGGTCAATTAGTCAATCGACAAAAATATGAGATACAAGACTACTGCATAGCTATGGAATCTGCCACAATTAACATCCCTACATCAAGACATAAAGCGACGAAATAAGTGACCAAGAAATAGCAACAGTGTAATTCAAAGGCGTATGAAATCATAAGATAAAAGGAGAACGAGTTGAAGCGTATAACGAATAAACAACTGAGATTAAAATAAGGCGTATGTGAGATTCCATATTATATTAGTTTATTTGACATAACACACACGTGTACATTATTTACTGTATAGTGAAATCCCAATGTATAACTATGTGCTCTGTCAAATAAATTAAATCTTACACCACCTTTCTTCACTACAACCTCACTAACCCTCTACTTTATACTTTCTTCTCCAACAAGCGTCATTATCATCGTCATCATCAAGATCGATAGAAGACAAGGCATTACTGTGTAACGGGTCCACGTTCCACATCTCATATCAGCACATCAAGTAACAAGGCAATGAAATCGAGAATGGAGAAGAGAAGGAAAATTGGTCAAAAGAAGTAAAAAGTAGTAAAGGAGAGAAAGGAACAATGTGAAAATGACGAGATTAAGCAAAGCGGTTAAGATGAGAATAGTGTGTATACATCTGCGCGACTGACATCGGTTCTCAGCCATATCATCTGGACTCTCCAAACACTGGTTTGTCTTGTCCCACGGACCCCAAATGACTAGTCCACATTGCCCTACATGTCTCAAAACGGACAGTCGAGACTTCATGGATTGATGTCATGTTTTAGCGTGGCGCCCCCAAGCATCTTTTCAACCTGAACTTACTTCGGGCAACGTCGTGCGACGAGGTATCATAGACAAATATTGCAATTTAGTCTAGTTACCTTACCAAGTATACCTCTAAACTGATGACGATATTAAGACTTAGTTAATAAAGAGTGGTAAACAAGATTGAAAAGATTAACAATCTTTCATTCAATAAAAGGTTGGTATATGAATTTCAATGATTAGAAATTTATATACCCCAAAATGTTACTACTAAGTACTAATAGAACAGTTGAAAATTGACAGCAGACATTCAATGCAATACACATAAATAATATAGAATGATCAGTTATTCCATTCTCTTATTCATCTATTAGATAATAGATTCAACTTTTATGTTCATCACTAGTCTTGTCTGCAATTTGGTGATAAATTGAATTTCTTGCCTATGCGAAATTTATCATTCTATTGTGTTCCATCTCTTTTCTCTTCATCTTGATCACAATCCTCAGTAGAAGATGAAAAAGAAGTATACAAAAGGGAAATACTAATTTATTTATACACTTTTCGATTTCATCTTTATATCTTACTTTCATTCCCTGCCACTTGAATATATAAGTAAAAGTTTACACTGAAATTAGTGTATACACACAGTACTAGCAGCAGCAATAATAATAATAATAATTGAAACACTGTTTTCCCTTCACTTCGAAATATATACATCATTATTTAATTCAAACTAGACATCTAAATTTCCAGTTTACTGCTTTATCCTCTTTAATGTAATCATTAGAAGAAAATGCACACAATTTCATTGATGAATTATTTGGTGAAGTGGTGGTCGTGATGATGATGACGATGGTAGTAGTCACGAAAACAGACATAAACGATTGTGATGAAGTTGATTAGGGTTATTACTTTGCATTGTGTACAACAAGAAAATAACATTAGCAATCTAATCTATGGAATAGGTGAACAAATGTTGTCTGTAGTCGCTCAGCTTGATTTCGTCTTCTCATTTGAATGCTTTTATGGCCGTGTGTGTGTATGTGTGCGAATTTTCTTTATATGATAGGTTTAAAAAAACAGTTTCGAAGACTTTAATGAAAACAACTCAGAAACCATAAACAGGTTAACTCATGTACTAGGCTATGAACCATATGCATACTCTAGGTTAATGATGCATTTCTGGTCGCCCAAACCTCAATAGGAAAAAAATAAAGAACAAAGGAGAGTTGACTAACTGAAAGTTGGGTGCATATTACCAAAGAACCACTGTTTCACCTAAGTACACACTGAGAATTGGTGAATATTCAATGCATGTTTTGCTTAGGACTATGTGTATGCTCAGCTGAACAGTGAACTAATCACACGTATCAACTTTATCGTAACTATTCTGCAAACACTTCCATAGACCACTAGTCAAGAGTATTATGAATAGAATCAAAGTACACTCAGAGACCACATTTACGTTCAAGGTGCAGGCGATCAGTCACGATACTGATTAGCTGCCAAGAACTCGGTAGGTAGAAAGTGATTCGAATCTGTCAATGTATACTCTGTAGGTAGTTACATCCATCTTGGAAATAATACAAAAATTAAAAGTTAAGAAAGTTCAGTGATATACATCCACCTCTCACTTTCCCTTGTAAAGAAGAACAAGAAAATAGGCTACATTTTCTAGACGTCCTACTGATTAGAAGACATAATGGATCACTCGGGAGAAGGGTGTACAGAAAAATCCTATCTACGAGTCAGCACATACATTACCGTAGTTTTCTGCCCCCTTTTGGTATAAAAAAAGAAGCTTAGTTCAATGTCATGCAAGCAAACCTAGAAGGATCTGCTTTGGTGATTTGAACACATTCACAATATACTGATGGAAATAGGTTACTTCCATAATTTTATCAAGAGA